GTCAGAAAAATTAGTAGTGGAGTAAAGTTCTGATACCAGAGAAATGTACCTAAGTACAGTAACCAAGTATTTGTACTCCAATACTTCCCACTTCTGTTCATATCTCATCACCAGGACGGAGACCTTTTGCTCCCAGTGGCTCAGGAAGAAAGCCCACAGGATTATTAAAAACCCCCATCACCCCAGCCACAAACTGTTCTGTTGCAGAATCAGGACAAAACCAACAGACTCAGAGACAGTTTCCTCCCCACAGGCAATAAGACTATTAAACTCCTGAGCTCTGTTAAGTGCCTCGATAAACATTCATCTGTTTGTAATCTTGCGATTGACCTATTTATCTAAATAGTTATCTAAGGCTCTGAGCTCCATTTACTTTCCTAACGGACGGCAAACAAAACTCCGACATTATACTATTTAAAATAAAAGGGTTAGGGTTAGGGTAAGATATTGAGTAAGAAAATGTTTTCATGAACCACACAGCTTCCGGTTGTCCAAGACCCGACTGGACAAAAAGACGTGGTGCAGGCACGAAACGTACTACCAATAGAAATACATTGCTTTTAAAATCGTTCTGTGTGACACGAAAAAAATTCGAAAATCGTGTTGGTGAACACAAATCATAGATTAAATTAATTTCGTGACTATAACACGAAATGCCGTGAGACTGGGTTGTCTATTTACGTGTATACAGACTTCTTGCACTATTTTTTTATTTTTTATACATGTTGCATCATTGGAGGAGCTCAGGTCAGAAGAATTTCATTGCCATTTCTACAATGTAGCTTAAATGCATATGACATTAAAACCTTTGAATCTTGGAATTGTGACTTCATACTATCTTGTTTTTTATCAAACAACTCTATAATTCTCCTGTAGCTTTCGTTGTAAAAGAACTATTGGTTTTCTTCACCTGGGGTCTCAGGACGTTCTTGTATATGTTGGAGGTGAAGACAGAAGCTGCAGAAAGCAGAAGAGAGTCGAGTGACGACATCGAGGCGGCGGCCACAGCTCCAATACCGATGATGGAGATGAAGGATGGGGTGAGATGTTGGAGGCTGAGGGGCAGAACTAGAGCTGATTCCCCACGTTCATATGGAGACGGAGAACCGTACGAAGTCATGTTCCAGTCTAAAGCATGGACACAGAAGAAGGAGAGACTGAAAAGGGTTCACATCATCTGCGTTATTCTGAGAAAAGCCTACAGGAATGTGGCTTATGTGATGACCTCTCAAATGGCATGTTGCTGAGATTTCCCCTTCACCCAAATAACTTTTTATCTAGCACATTTGCTAATGCCTGCAGTCCATACAAATAGATAAGTGTTTCTTATTTTAGTTTTTTAACTCTGTGATTCGCCGGTTCTTGTCAGGGTTTGGCAAGAGTTCGGACCCAAAATCAGTAATAATGTAAACACAAGGCGAGCTTTTATTAACTTCAAAGCTGGCGTAAAAATATAAAAACTGAAGGAACAGGTGAAGCAGAACAAAAGGAAAAGTAGCAAACAAAACTAGAACAAACCCGGAGGACTAGGAGGGAAACAGGAACAGGAAATCAAGAACCAAACCATAGGAAAACGACAGGTGCTTAAAGACATCAGTTTTCACAGGTTCCCTCAGTATTTAGAAACAGTTGTTACCTGTGGAGGCAGCAACTGCCCCAAAAAGTACTGAAGGAATCCCCAAAATAGGCAGGAAGAAAGCCGAAACATAGCAAGTGGTCTTGGCTGTTGATGTGGACGATGCCGACAAAGTCCTCTGATGAAGGCACTGATATCCCAGACTCCCCAGGGCCTTAAAGTCAAAACAGTAAATTGGTTAATGTTTTTTTATTAACGTGAATTGTGTTTGTAATTATCCACTTCCTTACCATTAGTAAAAAATCGTCCATCAGTAGCCAGGACTTTTTCAGCTCTGGTGCTCCTATCCAGGGAGCGTGAAGGGTGTTGTTCATCAGTGTCTGACTAATGGCCGAAACGTGGGGGTTCATCAGAGCAAAGGGAACACAGATCCACTGCAGGGACAGAAAAATATGTAAATAGAGACACACATAACAGACAGTTGTTGTACACAAATTATGATTTTGATACACCGAAGTGTATCAAAAGCGGGTTCGGTGATGTGGTCCCAATAAAGGGAGTAGCGAGTAGCAAACTCACCAAGCTGATGAATAAGAGGATAAGCTGTACAATATCTGTGTAGGCCACCGAGTAGAGACCCCCCAGCAGAGTGTAGATAATGGCGACGGCAGCAGAGATCCATACGCACACACTGAAGGGAATATCCAGGACCACACTCATGGTTCCTCCTGTCAAACACATTGTATCATGACAATGTTATAAACTGTGTTATTGGACTGTGTTCAGGGATTGGTCATAACAAACACCAGGTTTATAGGCTGAAGATAGGGATCTTTTATTTGTACAATGCAGTTTCTAAATGCTTGTGTTCGGTCACTCTGGCTATATGTTATAGTGTACGTCGTCTGCATAGTGATGGTGCAATGTAGTTGTTTGTTTACCATAAGTAATGCCCGTAGAAGCATCTAGTTGAGAAAGAAGAGGTCTCAAAATCTAGCTTTGAGGATGAAATATTTGTCTGATCGTTTGTTCGATGGGAGCCTCCAGCCTCCAAAAATGAAACCTCTTTGGTGGCATAATCTACGACAAAAGCCAGCAGAGATTTTGAGGGATGGACCAGATAAACAACTTCCCCAAACAAGAAATATGCAGGAAATGAAAATGCTTGAGTTGGAGGCAAGCTGAAGAACAGGAGAAGGGTTAGGGTTAGAAAGAAGGCCCTGAGGCAATCCTTGATCTGATAAAAGCCAGGCTCACAAACCTGAGGAGAACTGATAAGGAAACATATGGGTTAGAAAGAGAAGGCATGAGCAGGCTAGATCTGGGACCACTTTAATTATGCCAGAGATCTACTGGAGGAGAAGAAGACAGGGAAGCTTGTGAAAACCACATTGAAAAATCACATTGAAAAACAACTTGGCAACAGCAACAAGACGTGCCTCATACTCCAGAACCTGCTTCCCGATTTGACACGGCACCATTCAAGTGGACAGAGAACCAGCAGGCGGTAGAAAAAGCACGATCTGCATCACCTGGACCAAAAGGTATATAATAATCAAACTTTTGAGAGATTGTTTGAATGATGTGATGGTGTTTGCAGATCTGACGTGGCTGGGGAGGGAGTTCCAGAGTGAGGGGGAGGCTACTGCGAAGGCCCTGTCACCCCAGGCCCAGAGCTTTTTCCTTATTGGCTGCAGTAAATTAGCTTCAGCAGACCTGAGGCGACGGGCGGGGGTGTGTCGTTGGATGAGGTCACAGGGGTAGGGGGGGGCAAGGTTGTTGAGGGCTTTGTAAGTCAAAAGTAATATTTGAAAGTCAATGCGGTGTTTGATGGGGAGCCAGTGGAGGTCATGGAGGATATGGGTTGAAGTGGTTGGAGCGTCGGGTGGAGGTGAGCAAGTGGGCAGCTGAGTTTTGGACATATTGACGTTTTTTTAGTATGAACGCAGGTGATCCAAAAATAATGTTGTTGCATTAATCCAGTCGGGATGTTATAAAGGCATGGATCAGAGTTTCAGCAGCGATCGATGAGAGGGAGGGTCTGATGCAGGCGATGTCCTTTAAATGGAAGAAAGCGTTTTTTGTGACCTGGTTGACGTGAGGGAGGAAAGTGAGGGTGGGGTCGAGGATGATGCCAAGGTTACGGATGTGAGTGGAGGGGTTGACAATGCAGCCGTCGATGGTAAGTGAAAAAATCCTGGGTTGAGCGGGTAAGTGAGTTTGGGTCGATGATTATAAGTTCCGATTTTTCACAGTTGAGTTTTAGAAAATTGTTTTGTATCCAAATTTGAATGTCAGTGAGGCAGGTGCTGAGCTGGGAGTGTGTCGTTGGAGACATATATTTTGTTGATAGGTAGAGCTGTGTGTCATCAGCATAACAGTTGAACTGGAGTTGGTTTTGACGGAGGATTTGTCCAATTGGGAGGATATAGATAATGAACAGAAGGGGACGAAGTACAGAACCCTGAGGGACGCCATGATTGAAAGGGGCTGTGGGGGATTTGGAGTTGTTAATGGAGATTAATTGATGTCTAAGAATATAAGATATAGGAACTGCCTCATGGTGCTGAAGCTACTCTGGAGACTACGGAGAAGACTGAAAGAGCGCCGTAACACTAGGATGGGTCAAATGTAGAGAAACGGTTTCATTACATAGTACCTGTACTACGGAATGACAATAAATGTAATCTTCCTCTGGGCAAGGATTGGATTCTGTCAAATTATGAAAGGGGCTACGAATGACAAATCTCCTTCTCTGATGGGGAGAAGACTCTAATAGTGGCAGAGCAGTCTGTGCAAATTATTGGGAGGATGTTTACTGCCGATATCTCAGACAAAAAACATGTCTTCCTCTTTTGTGGCGGGTTGAGCAAAGCCACTTCCCGGGAAATTCAAGATCCGGTGCTACCAGTTCACTTTGTACCGACGCCTGATTTTTTGAAACATTGCAAGAAATCTTTAACAACAGCACTGGACATAGAATCAAAAGCCAAGAACCACATCCTCAAATAGCTAGAACTTCCTCTTGGATGCTCCAGTGTGTTTGAAAGAAACACACTCAACGTATCGCTAAAACCTTTGTTTGTGTGTGTGTGTATACAAACAGAGAGAAAAATGTATATAGCATACCTAAACCAATTAGTATGGCGGGTAACCAGACAATATCCAAACCAATTGAAGCCAGGGACAGTGCAGCAGTTACTACTTTTCCATACTTGGCATTGAAGGGGTCCAGCAACGTCACACAGTTTCTGTCTCTCATCGGCTTTACAAACACCAAGCCACCTTAAAATAAGGAGGACAGAAAACATCACAATTAAAGAAACTAAATATAAACATTTTCTTTGGCTGCGTTTGAAATCACCTACTAAATATTAATCAAACTGAATATGAGGTGTGAAAGAAAACCCAAGATGTATAATACCTTTAAATACTTTTTAAAAAAACAATTTATATCTGTAAAAACTCTTTGGAAAACAGAAATTACGTTTTTATTAAATAGTGAAATTTTCTTCAGTTCATTTTTTAATATTACATATCTACATTTTTTACCTATTTAATATTATTTGGCTACATTTTTTTTTTCGGTCAGATGTAATATCAAACTTACAAATAATAAAAGATGAGCTGTATGCCGACAGCACCAGGATTGCCCAGGTTAGACCCATAGATGGCAGGTACACCATCTCAGCTGTTCCAACAATGAAGCCTCCTCCGACCCAGGTAGCTATGGGAGAGATTAACACACAACAATTCAATTAGTGGACAAACAACAGTTTTCTAGTTAAATAAATAAAACTAAGTGACAATGCTTTTACATTATGCCCACATGGATGAATGTGTGGAATAATGGTGTCTTTCTTTCAAGGTTCAGTACTCTGCCCCCTCCTCTTCATCATCTACATCCTCCCCCTTGGTCAGATTCTCCGCCACTACAACCTGGACTTTCACTGTTACGCCGACGACACCCAGATTTACCTCAGCACCAAATCCCCCCACAAGCCCCCCCTCACCCACATCGACTGCTGTCTGACTGCAATACAATTCTCAATGCAACACAACTTCCTCAAACTCAACAGCAATAAAACTGAACTCCTCCTCATCGGCTCCAAATCCACCCTCAGCAAAACCCCCAACCTGAGACTCACCATCGATGAAACCCCTGTTTCCCCATCCACCCAGGCACGCAACCTTGGAGTAATATTTGACCGCACCCTCTCCCTCGAGCCCCACATCCGTTCATCAAGTTGTTAAAATCTCATTTTTCCACCTCCGCAATATTGCCAAACTCCGTCCCTTTCTCACTCGCCCTGCAGCTGAACAACTCATTCACGCCTTAATCTCCTCCCGCCTTGACTATTGTAATTCACTCCTCTACGGCATCACCTCCACTTCCCTCAGTAGACTCCAGCGTGTTCAGAGCGCAGCCGCCAGACTCCTCACCCACACCAAATCATGGCATCACATCACCCCGGTCCTCAAAGAACTCCACTGGCTTCCCGCTTCTCACCGCATCCACTACAAACTCCTGGTCCTCACTTACAAAGCTCTCCGCCACCTGGCCCCCCCCTACCTCACTGACCTCCTCATCCTCTACCAACCACCCCGGTCCCTCAGATCCACCTCAGCCGGTGTGCTGTCCACCCCCAAGGCCAAACTCCGGAGCTTTGGGGACAGAGCCTTCTCTGTGGAAGCCCTGAAGCTCTGGAACTCCCTCCCCCAAGACCTCCGTGAGTCTGAGTCCCTCAACCTGTTTCAGTCCCGTCTCAAAACCCACCTCTTCAACTCTGCTTATCCTTAAACCCGCCCCTCCCCCCTCTGAACCAACATCCTCCTGACTGCTTTTCTGTTTTTGTTTTGTTTTTGTTTTTGTTTGTGTTTTTGTTCTTGTTTTGTTTGTCGACCTGACTCATAATGTAAAGCGTCTTTGGGTCTAGAAAAGCGCTATATAAATCTCATTTATTATTATTATTATTATTATTATTAAATAAATGTTGTGGAGTAAAAGTACACCATTTACCTCTGAATTGGAGTGAAGTAGAAGTACAAAGTAGCATAACATGGAAATACTCAAGTAAAGTACCTCAAAATGCTCGCTTGAGTAAATGTACTTAGTGACTTTACACCTCTGCATTCAGGGCAACACTGACTCAGC